CAGCAGCAAAATGCTTTCTTCTCTGTATTTTTTATTTATTTATTTATTTGTTGGTTTAGCAATACCCAGTCTGCAGTCTCAGCAGCAGCACCAGCATAGCACATCTACTCTGCCAAAACCAAACCTATTTACATTTACATTGGTCAGTAATAAAATATGTGTTACAAACTACTCCAAGAGTTGTTGATCACGTTTATGCTGGAGTTCACACACAAATTCACTGTGTTGTTGTGCTTGGAAGTGATTTCTGTGTGAGCTGTGATTTATATATCTTCACACAATTGACAATGGACAATAGTATGCTTCCCCCCCTCAAAATTTCACTTGTGTGACTGCACTTTTATTTTTTTCTGGTGTATTTTTGGTAATTTTTGTAAATTGCAAATAAAAAAGGGGGAAAAAGGAAACATTACATAAAATAAATATTTTATATGTATACAGTGGTGGCCAAAATTGTTAGAACACCTGACAGATCTGAAAATATTGACTTTTTTTGCCTCCAAAATATGATTTAATTTCATACTGTTCATGAAACATGCAGATGGTTGCTCTGTGCACAACAAATGAAGTGAGTCGTACTGTTTTTATTTACTTTTAACTTTAATATTTGGTATGTCCACCTTTTGCATCAATTAGGCTACAGCAGCACATCTCTCTGGCATAGTGTCAATATATATCCTGAGAACTTCAGCACTAATGTTATCCCATGCCTTTTGCAACTCAAGCCTAAGGCTTTCCTCTGAATGTACAATAGATCTGTCCAGTTTATTTTCCAACTCGCCCCAAATTTGCTCGATGGGGTTGAAGTCCGGACTTTGAGGAGCCAGTCCTTCATTTTCAATGTTCCAGCAGATTCCTTCCGTCGCAGGTAGTTCCAGCAATAATTGTATGGGTGTTGTAATGGCCAATTCAACAAAAACAACTAAAACCTGTTAAATATGCCACATGTATGTACTGTATATATATATATATATATATATATATATATGTGTGTGCGTGCGCGCGCGCGTTGCGATAGTCCAGCCTGGATAGAACAAGAGCTTGAACAAGGAGTTATGTTGCATGTTCTGAAAGAAAGTGCCTGATCTCCTAATGTTGTATAAAGCAAATCTGCAGGACCGGGCAATTTTAGCAATGTGGTCTGAGAAATTCAGCTTATCATCAATCACAACTCCAAGGTTTCTGGCTGTTCTTGAAGGAGTTATGGTTGATGAGCCTAACTGGATGGTGAAATTGTGATGAAACGATAGGTTTGATGGAACCACAAGCAGTTCTGTCATATATATATATATATATATGAGCGCACTATGCACTGGAAAGCCTTTTTAAAGGAAAGTGTATTTAGAGTTTACTCACAGGACAGGTGTCTCAATTTGTTCTTCCTCTTGACGTCTGGTACATCTGCTATTCTCTGTCACTCATTACATGAAAACAGCCACAGCTGACAAAACACACGCTGCTATGATCAAAGTCTACATTGTGGATGGTTTCACTGGCAATATTGTTTTACCATTTGTCGCAGTGTTAAACATTGGTATATAACACATCTTGTTACTTGTGTCAAAGTGATTGGACTTTTTTGCTTGATGGATGATTGAAGCAGTCTTTTAGTCAGTAAGCAACCATCCACAACACCCTAGCACAAGCAAACAGCCCTCACATTTTCTTTGTAAGATGTAAACATCTAGCTGGTGAGGTTTGAATGTTGTAGTGGTTTGAATAATCATGTTTTGAATATCTTTCCAGTGCAGCGTGACTATTAGTCACTGACACAGTGCGTGCTCAATATTACATTACTCTTCAGCGACTGCACTGAGTATGTATGTGTGTTTGCTGAGTCAAAACCAAAGACTTTATGATTATAACCCTTAAACTGTTTATATGTCCTTCATATGCTCAACAGCTCGATGCTTTCTCACTCAGCTTGTCTGGTTATGTTGTTTTTTCTTCATGCTTTTCAAAGCAACAGCTTTATGATGTCATTCATGCATTTCCATAAGGAAACACCCTGCATAATGATGAAAGACACAAAATATATGATATATAGCCATATTGTCTCTAAAATAGACTGTTTTACACAATAGACCTGGAATATGTCCAAACTGCTTGCCCTGTTCAGGCACTTACTGTCTCAGGCCATATACATAAAATATGGATTTCTTTGTTTAATATGTCCAATAGGAATAAATGCCTGATTGCTGTTGCATTTACTTGGTGTGTGTATTGTTGACATGTTTCAGCCTGTGTGATGTTGAAATGGAATGTGGTTTCTGATGTGAGTTTTGATTTAAGTGCACTTATTAAACCCGAGCGTTTAATTAACATAGGCTACTACACCATCAGCACATCAAACAAGTCTAAAGAATCCATCAGCGCCTGGAAGGATATTCCAGGAAATACAGCAGCTTTTCTTGTCACAGGACAGTTATGCTGTTAATAATAACGTTTGCTCCTCACCTTGGTTTTTCCTCCTATTCTGGAATATGAGTCTGTAATTACGATCCAGAAAACCACTGTGACCTGAAAAACAGACGGCTGTGACTCATAACGCTGCATAAAGGCAAAGAAGAAGACTGTTGTCAGCAGCTTGGTCCATAAGAAAAACTATCATTCATTTTATCTGATTTTTTTCATGATGATCATAACAATATCAAAGCTATAAATGAATGAGAAAACAATAACTCAATCATGTATAACTGTGTACCATTGTTTTATACATACCATGCTAATATTATATTATTTGAAGTACTGCTGTGTGTCATGTAAAAACATTGGTGCATGAATATACTAATCAATATATTAATACTTTAGTAATACCATCTGCACTATATCATAGTACTGACACTTTTTGTTTAAGGGTAGTGGACTGAACATCATGGCAGTGTTATTTTAATGTCATTAATATACTATTCTTATTTTTCTTAATATTTTAGATTGTATTAGTATATTTTAATTGTAGTAAAAGTTGTAATAATTTTGTTGTTTTTGTTATTTAAAATTTGTATTTGATTTTATTAGTTCTTGTTTTTAAAGTCTTAGTTGTTAGTTTTAATTTATTTAGCTTTAGTCATTTTAGTGCTTCAATTTAAACTAAACCAAAATGGGAAATGTTGCCTTGGTTACTGGCTGAAATAAAATAAGTTTATTCATTTATTTTTCAATTTCAATTTCAATGCATGTTTGTTTTATTGAAAGGTTATTATTTATAATGGTTTTAGTTTTCCTGCATCATGGAACAGTGATTTATACTCTCAGTATTAAGATTTTTGTGATGTATTAATATAATTTTAGTGTGATACTTTATAGATTGTATGTGATGCAGTTAGGCAAAAACCTTTCAGTTGCAACTGCGCTTCAACTGGCTTTTATTTTTTCAGGTATGATTTCATTGATTTATTTAGCTATTGTTTGTTGCTTATGTTTACCCTCTTCTGTTTACTGCAGTTAAAATAAAGGCCAATAACAAAAGCAGTCATAGCGTTGTTTCGCGGCCAGCGTTGGAGAGGTTACTTTGGAAATACGTTTACAGATTACAAGTTACACAATTTTTCAAATGTAATAAGTAGTGTAACTATTTCAATTACTTTATTAAAGTAATGTAACTGATTACATTTGATTACTTTTCAAAATGTTTGAAGTTTTCAACTGTTAATCATTTTCAGAGACGTAAAGCAGGCAGCGTTAACCTTACAGTAGCACTCAAAAACACTGATTACTGTCACTTTCAAAATCCTTCATCACTTGAATTAAGACTATAGTAATTTAATTTTAAAGCTCAGCCACGACAAAATCACCGCTTTTTACTTTGAGGTCATTCTGAGGTTAAATACTAATGCAAAACCATAACAGGAAATAGTTTAGTAGAAAGGATACTGTTTTTGAAATCAAATATTTGCATAGTTATGACTGGAAACAATGCCTTGGGAAAAAAAACAAACAGTTAATCGTATTATCCAAACAGAAAATAAAACAGTTAGGCTATTAAATAAGCATGATGTGCCCTATTCTGTGTCCTAAACTCCTGAAACATTGGTGTATCATATTTTAGAGCAGTCAATGCAATTTGGGAACGAAATCAATTAAATCTGTATGTTTGTGAAAATATTCACATGTAACCCCGTTTGCAATCGTTAACATTTTCATAAGTAACTGTAATTTAATTACACTTTTTTTCCCTCAGTAACTGTAACTGATTACAAACACATTTATTTTGTAATTAAATTGCGTAATTTAGTTACATGTAAGTAGTTACCTCCCAACTAGGGTTGCCACCTTCAGAAAAGGAAAATAAGGGACAATCGTGGTTTTTCATAGAAAAATAAGGGACATAATAAGGGATACACACACAGGCCTATTATATATATATATATATAGTTGATCAAAAATACTGAAAAAAACAGTAATATTGTTAAATATTATTTCAATTTCTAATATTGGTTTCCTATCTTAATTATTATACTTTAAAATATTATTTATTTCTGTGACGCAGCACTGAATTATCAGCATCATTACTCCAGTCCTCAGTGTCAAATGATCCTTTTATAAATCATTCTTATTCTGATTTATTATCAGTGTTGAAAGCCATTTTAACACATCCTAGCTGAATAAAAGTATTCTAAAAGTTTCTTTAAAAAAGAAGAAGAAGAAAAAAAAGAAATTTACTGACCCCAAACTTTTTTTTTTTTTGAATAGATGTGTATATTTAACACAATTTTTATTTTTAATAAATACTGTTCTTTTTAACCTTTTATTTATCAAAGAATCCTGAAAAAATATCACACCAAATAAATGCAGGCTTGATGAGCATAAGAAATTAAAAATCTTACTGATCCCAAACTTTTGAACGGCAGTGTATATATTCATATATATATATAGGCTATAGGCAATCTACCTCATGAACAGTTAAATATTCTCCCATTGTGCAATACAAATATGTGCAATAACCTAAGCTTTCATACGGAACGCTTCTTTGATGCCTTAAATACGGGACGATTCCGTATTATACGCGACGGTGGGCAACTCTACCCCCAACTCTGTTCACGGCTACGCTGCAGAGATGCTGTCTAGGTAACGTTAGGCGCTAGCTAGCTAGCTAGCTTGGTGTTGAGACGCGGCCAGAGACAGTGAGGGAGAAACGCCAGCAGGGCAACAAACACCGACACACACAGTAAGTTACTCAACTTATTCATCTATTCAGAGGACTTTCAGAGGTTTTTCAGATTGTGGTTGGTTTTCTTTCTACAAACATTGAGGCGTTTGGTTCTAATTTATATTTTATTTATACCGACCATTGATACATATGGAGCACCGGAGCGTGATTAGAAGTTGACAAGGTTTCATTCCATCACTGCATTAAGAAGTGTTAGTTTACATTTGCATTTAGATATCCTGATATAAAACGTGTTTGTTTTCTTTCTTTCTTTCTGGACGAGCAAGGCTAAAACCATTAAAACTCATCAGTGATTTGTTTGTTTTTTTGAGAGAGAGAGAGACGCTGGTCATGTGATATGCGTGTTTATTATTTGCATTCGGAAGCATGTATGATTGATTTTATTTTGCATATGAATATAGTTGTGGTTTGATGAATGGAGGTGACGTGTTAGCGATATTTTACTGTTTTATTCGAGATAAAATATCGGATTACAGCTAAAACGTACCTGTTTTATCAATATTTTGCTTTATGAGAGTATTATTAGCAGTCTTGTGTATCCTTGTTTATGTTTGGAATAGCATACTACTCCTACTTGCTATGTAGTACAGAACAGTATGCAGCATAGCCTACACTCTGTATCTATTGACTATACCCTACTTGTTGAGGGGTGACCTCTGATATCAATTGTTGGCTTATTTGATTGAACCACTGCAATTTTGAAGGAAAGTGTATATAAAATGTATATACTGTATACTTATAAGTATACAGTATATACTGTGCAGTATGCTTTTTTTTTTTTTTAACTTTCACAGTTTTGGCTGTCCAGTTTAATAATGAATAGATGTTCAAAGTCAAACTAGTTTATATTAGCTGTCATAATGGAAAGTCGTACTGAACACATTGCTTTATCGGTTAACTCTAGCATATACTGCATATTTTGATAAATGGATTTTTTTCCTTTCAGTCTTATTTGTGCAGAAAATTTGCATTCTGCACACACTGTGAATAACGCATCCCTATGCATACTGAGTCGTGCGTATTATTGTGCACTCAAGTCATTCTGGGAAGTTCGTATTTATGAGATGGGTAGACATTTTTATGATATGTGTTCAGTTTTAGAGCAAGATTGATGAATAAAGAATGTGCTTCACGAGTGGTTTTGCATTTTTATTCAGTTTAGGAATATAAGATTTAAGATGGTATAAATTGAATTGTTATATATTCTGTCATAATTGTGCAATGCTATTTTTCAAGGGTTGCAATGGGCCGGAAAATTTCTGAATGTTTCCAAAAAAAAAAAAATCTGGAAAGTTTCTGGAAATGTTCTGTCCCTTTGCAACCGTGTTTTGAACTAGCTTATCTAGCTTTATTTTAAATGAAAAAAAAAAAAGTGATTAATTTTATCTAATTTTCACACACTGACACATCGCCAACTCAGAAACTCAAGGCTTAAAGAAAGTTTAAAAAGAGTTTTCCACCTGTATTTACAACTTTGTGATGGTGTTCATGTGCGTTCAACTAACTCATACATTACATGCTATCTTTCTAACATGATTTGAATGCACTAGTAACATCAGATTAATCTGATGATAATATACCACTGTAAATAAATGTAATAAAAATGAGCATACTTTCATTTTATACACATTAGTACATTTATATGAATATTAAATTCTGTGCTGAAGTAAACATGATATGTAGATGTGATTCCTTAAAGGGGTCCTATTATGCTCTTTTACAAAGTGTTGATTTTGTTTTAGGGGTGTACTAGAACAGGCTGTCATACTAGGTTGTTCGAAAAACACATTATTTTTCACATATTTTACATTATTACAATACCTCCAGTGTTCGAACTATACCGTGGACTTTGGGGGAGCCCACTTGATTTTTTTTTATAACGGGGGGGCGGGGTTCGTGCGCTTGCACGTGCCTCAAAAGAGAGCTTACAATGTCTTACAAAGATACATAACAGCTACAAGTGTATGCACTACTTGCTTTATGCAAGCACTATGTAGGATAAATCACAATACAGGATTTACCCTATTATACTTTATCGACACAAATTGATAGGTGAAACAACAAACAGCCACCCACAAATAGTCTATAAACAAAGCATCAGGCTGTCTTTGAGTTCACATGAACAACGGTTAACGTCAGGCTACAGAAGAATACCATAATTCCTCCGTTCAATTAGGCCTAAGACATCGAGAGTCACGCAGACCTATAACAACCCAGCCACAACACATAATTGCGAATAACATGGATTTCTGTTAAATAAAATATCTCCTTTTGAAGTGGACTTTAAGCTTTGTAACTTTTGTAGATCTTTTTTATGCTCAAACAGCAACATTACAGACTAACTAAAGTTGAAAAAGTGAAAAAGCATAATAGGACCCCTTTAACCGAGGCAATTGCATTGCTGGGCTAGATAGGAATGTGTGGGTTTGACTTTCAAAAAGCCATCCCAGAGACTAAGAAATTAATCTCGTACATTGCTTTTCCAAATCTCTGATTGGTTCAGGAAGGTGAATCTGTCTGCATTCCTGATCATAACTAAGCCAGCGTTGTCTGACTCTGTCCTTGAAATGCTTTGGTCATATTCTTCCTCTCACATTCTCGAAGGCCTTCATTCTTCAGCTGTAAGTGTCACTTGCAGCCTGTTTACAAGAGCATGTTATCGGTTCGAGCAGTTCCTGGCCTTTCAATGTCAAGGCTGAGGTTAAAGTGATGTCAGGACAAAATACCTCAACAATGTCTGTGGGAGGCTGTTTGCTCGTAACCTCCAAGCATTTGACTAGATTACACTGGAGGAAACTTGCTCATTTTGAGTGACTGTCGTCTATATGATGGTGACTATCAGGATAGTTACAGGAAATAATTACTGCTGTATTGACCCCACCACAGATGTGGAGGCTTTTATATGCAGTTTGCACTGACGCTACAGACCGCAGTGGCTCAAAGTTGGCTTGCATTTTGATTCCCTAAGTAATATTCCACAGGCCTGTTGTGTCTCGCTGTCTCTTCTACTGCTCATATAACTAATAGTCTTAAATTATTATGAAAACACAATTTAATTGTCGTCTGTCATCATCTGCTTGGGCTCAGTGACTTTTTGACTTTTTGGGAAGTCCAGATGGTTCCACCCCAGTTCTGCCACATTTTCACTCATAAAAGCCAACGAATTTTAGCCTTGACATGCAACAGCACTGCAAAAATAGGACTCAGTGTGCTGTGTTAAAATGACATTTTCCTTGTTGATTTTTCACGGGTGCATTTTTGAATTACGCATTGCACTGTGTTGTGTTTTAGGGTTAAAGTAATTCTACATAAACTACAATAATGTCCTGTCAGAAAATAACTAGTGTCTTTTTCTGTATTCTAACAGTGCATAAGAGACCTTTATTATTACACTTCGAAAAATAGAATAAAATAGTTATTAATATTAAATGTTCTAAAGACAATGTAAATTGTTGTTGCCATGCAAAAATGGCCAGCGTGACTGTAGGGTGTTTTAGGTGGTTGCTAGAGCATTGCTATGCAGTTGGTAGCAATGTTGGCTTTACCTCTAAAAGAAAAACTTTACACTTTTACAGAAAAAATAAATAAATAAATAAGTTATAGTAAGTTACCCTACTATATATACAGTGAACATTTTTAAATGGTTTATCATTGCATTGTATGTAATATTAGTGTAAAATACTGAAATGTTTTTGAACTTTGCAATTATAAAATATGATTCGCTATTTAATTTACGTTGAAAACATATGCTTTTATTCTAAATGGTGTTGTTTATAATTTTTTAGGTGATGTACATTAGGGTGTTTTGTGTTATCCTCTAAAAAAAAATCTGTAAAAATAGGGCACAATATATTGTACTATTTGAAGGATTTTTTCCATATTTATTTTTTACAGGTGTTTTACTAGTATTTAGAAATGTACACTTCATTGCATTGTGTTTTAGAGTTAACAGAAATGTCCGTAAAATTAATGGATAATGTCGTGTGTAATGAGCTGCCAGTATTTTTTCTGTTATTTTACGGATTTATTTTTTACAGTGTAGCCTACATGTTCTGTTAATTAGTAAATGTTTATTGCCATGTTTTAGTTTTGTCTGTGCATGTGTGTGTGTGTGTGTGTGTGTGTGTGTATGTGTGAGTGTGTGTGTGTGCATGCATGTATGTGTGTGTGTGTGTGTGAGTGCATGTGTGTGTGCGTGTGTGTGTGTGTGTGTGTGAGAGAGAGCCTGTGCACGTCTATGTATCGGCCATGTTTGATAGACAGGTCACTTACAATGATCTCTGATTCGTCATGTGGCTTTCTATCGCACCAGCTGTATTATTATGGTGTTATCAGTACATGTTTAAGGTACAAGGCAAATTTTGGTACTTTAAGTAGAAAAAATTGATTAAAAAACAAATAGTTTGAAGAAAGTTGCACAGTCTGAAAGTTTAGTGTGGAATGAGAACTGCAGACAAACTTGATTTGAACTTTAATATCCTGAGTGTGCCGTTCATTATTCTTATTCAAAGATCAGAATGATCTTTGTGCAGCTGCCTGTAGAAATGACTCTGTGAAATAAAGACTTTGCTTGCTTCAAGACTTTACTTGAGTCGGTTCCGTCTCACAGATCTGCCTATTTATTCCGTCAGAAATCAGTTGAGTTAGAGCGAGATCTCTTTAAAACAAACCCTGATTGATCCATTGAAAACTACTGTACTTGTAGCAGATTCTGCTGTAGATCAAACTTACAGTTAGAATAGACCTCAAAGGAGAATGATGCTTTTAGTCATATTTAGAGCTTGAAAGATGTGATCTCCATTCACAGCAGCTTGAACATTCTGTCAAACATATTTGGCAGATTGTGTTCCATAGAAGACCGTCACAAAGGTTTGGTATGATATGACGACAATTTTCAGACTGGTAGTTGGTCTTTTTCATGTGGTTTTGTAGCACTTCATTGGTTTATTGATGCTTTATGATCTATGATAAACCAGTGGAGGCTGTAGACTAAACAC